ATAACGAATTAAATTTAAGCCATTTCAGTAAAGTTAGAACCATTATTTTTTGCTAAATATGCAAATTTGGGCTGCGCAATATGCAAATTAGGGTGGCCATTACTGAAAATCTGTTTTTCGTCAATATCTCAGGAACTACTCATGGTATCAGAATAATTTTGGTGTCTATCCCCATGTTTTGAGGGATAACAAATGGAATTAATCCATTTCAGTAAAGATCAAACCATTTTTTTTGTGCTGAATATGCAAATTAAAGCCGCACAATAGGCAAATCAAGGTGGCCATTACTGAAAATCTGTTTTCCGTCAATATCTCATTAACTACATAATGTGTCTTTCCCCATGTTTTTGGAATAACTATTGAGGATAGGCCATTTCAGTGGAGATCAAATAGATATTTTTGTGCTTAATTTGAAAATTTAGGCCGCCATTACTGAAAATCTGTTTTTCGTCAATATCTCAATAAATCTCATGGTATCAACAATACCTTTGATACAATACACATACATTTGTACTATACACATGTTTTGAAGGCTAGATATTTAGAATAAACCATCCCAGTATTGATCACACCAAAATTTGATGCAAATTATGCAAAAACTAACCAGTATATAGCGTGGGCGCCAGTACCTCTGAACACTGATAGGAATGTTAATAAATGATACAATCTGTTCAAAAAAATATTAGACCCTTCATAAGCTCACACTTGTGCCTTACCAGCGTCTGTGTACAGGCAGAATAAAGCGCTAACTTGACGTCCTGAATTTAAGTTGAATTCTTCTTGAGTCCCGGACAGGCCAAAGAAAAATAGCCCGGTAGCCGCGGGGTGTCCCACGGCTGAAAGTGTCAAAAACAGCCCGGGAACTACCCGCCAGGGCCTTTTTTTTTACAATTGGGACAAAAGCTTAACAGATCTCCAGGAAGATGACCGGCGGCCGCTCAAAAGTGCACAGTCCTAATTAAGGCGGAAGATGGGACCCTACCACTGTCTTAGGGGGAGGACAAGCTTGTCAGGTGGGCAGAATACTTTTCAAAAAGTCTTAAACCGCTCAAGCCCTACCTCAGTAGCATTAGTCTTTGATGAACACCTACACCCATTACCTGTTGAGATTGAGGACATCTCCGAAGCTGAAGTCAGTCACCAGGCATGAATGGCATCACTTCAGAGATGCTGAAAGCCGAGGGTGACTGTGTTGTGAGATGGATGCTTTTCTGATCGCCGTACATCGCAAACGCTTTAATAGAACCATAGCCGTCTTCCCTAGTACGCATTCCCTGGAATAAAGCTGGCATTCAACGACGATCACAGGGAAGTGCTGGAGGACTGGAAGAACGGATCAGTAGTTCAGCTGGAGTCACATGTGAAACGGGGCCTGCTCGGCATGTTCTCGGTGTAGACGCCGGCCGGCGTCATGAAGCCGAGCGTACGCTGGCTGTCAGGGTCACAATTGAATTTTCCTTTACGGCTCCCTGTCAGGGCGCTGAGGCGGCTTCTATGTAAAATTCACAAAATTTTGGTCCCCTTGACGACCGGTTTCTGTTGGGGACCCGTCCGGTGCCCAGTCAGTCTTCTGTCAGACCTGTGCGGGATGCAATAGGGTGCCGACTAGCTCTTGCATTCCGGCCGGGTAGCTACAGGGTCCCTGGTGGGGTCAAGGGGCGATCCTGGCAGGTCCCAGGCTGGTACGCCTGTGGCTGGTATGGTGGGTTCGGCCCTGCTGGTTGATGCGCAGACCCGTGTATGGTCACTATGACTGACTGATGATGTAACTATGTCGAGAACAGCACATTACCCTCTATATTGTCTATAACTACCTTCTTCTGAACAATTCAAGCACAGAACAACACACGTGCCACTTCATAATCTTGGACAGGTGCCTGTGCATGACCCGGCGGCTAGGTTACGGTTTGGTCCGGTGAGGTTACGGGGTCGCTTCGGCGTACCTTGCCCGCCGGGGCCTGAAGTGACTTTAAGTTGAGTCAAATCAATTTGGCGACGTCGCGGGACCAAAAAAATAGGCCGGCAGCCGTCGGGAACCCCACCCATTGCCTTCCAGGTCCCGTTCCGAATTCGGTAGTGCCAAAACACAGGTCAAAAACGAGCCGAGCGGGCCCCTTTCTTGAATTGTGACATACCATTAGGCATATTCCAAAGAAGGGAAACCTGAATGAATGTGATAACTTAAGGGGAGTGACAATTCTTTTTTATACAAGTGAAGGTGTATGCCAAATGCCTCCTGAACCGCATGAGAGATGCAGTAGGCAAGGTCTTCTGGGAGCTGCGAGCAACAAGCTAGCTTTCGCTCAAAGAGATCCTGTGCTGAGCAGATCTTCACCCTGCGGTGGAGGAAATGTGCTGAACTGCAAACCCCTAGCTATCAGATTCATTTATTTCTGCAAGGCGTTTGATAGCATCTAAAGTCCCTCTTTATCGTGGACAGTTATGGACTGCCAAGTAAACTTATGTATGCAGTTGAACAGATATACTGAAACTCGAAGTGTTGTGTACTGACGGTTGAAGGAATCTAGATACAGCTGGTGGTTTGAAGACGGATCCTCCAAGGTTGTGTCCTGTCACAGATCCTCTTTCCCGTGGCTATCGACTGGGTACTTGGGAAGCAACAGGAGAAAAGGGCCGGGGGTAAAGTGGGTTCCAGAGACAAAGTTTGCCGACCTTGACTTTGCAGACGACATTGCGACATAGCGGAAAACGCCATAGATCTCCAACCCCTAGTGACCAACATAGTCCGTCTGCAGGCAGCATTGGGCTCAGCATCAGGGCCATCAATTAACATGCTGATAGGGACACACGCTCCTCTTAAAAGTGTGACCATTGACGAGAACAAATTGAAAGTGGCGGAGAACTTCACCTACCTTGGGAGCTCCACCAACAACAAAGGACAGATGGACAATGAGCTAGACTGTAGACTTGGAAAGGCCTCAGCAGCCTTCAACCAGCTTGACTTTGAAACCTACTATGTGGAAATCAGCCAAGAAAAGAGAAAAGAGACTGGAATCACTGCATGCTTCTGATAGTGAATGCGTGAGGAAGATCTTAAGCATCAGACGACAGGACTTCATACCCAACACAGATATATGAGCCAGAGCTAACCAACAGCCAGTGTCTACAATCATACGCAAGCGGCGTTTCATGCAAGAAGACGTCTGCCATCTAGACTTAGGTAAACTTGTCTTTCAATATTGAACAGGTTTTGGGTCAGATAAACTATACCAAGGCATGTGCGTTTGCATGGAACATGGGTCGGAATTAGGACCCCTCCTTGCTGGCAGCCAGGTGCGTCAATAACAGACAAGGCCCAAATTTGCATATGTAGCAAAAAATAATGGTTCTATCTATACTGAAATGGCTTGATTTAATTCGTTATCCCTCAAAACATGGGGATAGACACCAAAATTATTCTGATACCATGAGTAGTTACTGAGATATTGACGAAAAACAGATTTTCAGTAATGGCCGCCCTAATTTGCATATTGCCACCCAAATTTGCATATTTAGCAAAA